ACAAGTTTAACATCAGGTCCAGAAATTAGTAATAGCATTATCATCGTAGAGAAATTATTTTATTTAATATTTAACCTTCCTGTGCTGTTTAATACCCATTGTGCAATGAGCATTCCCTCATATACTGAGGAATCATTATAATTTCAAAAATAGAAAATATAGAAAAGTATCGGCATGGGTATCGGCCGAGAATTCATATCAGTATCGGCAAATACTTTGGTATCGTCCCATCCCTAGTTTTATCCCTCCCTTCTGTGTATTCACAATATTCCGTGTTTGAAGTATCGACAGGTTCACCTGACAGGTGTACAGCGCGTGTACAAGAATAAATTACTTAGATTACCTTGATGTAGTTACAGGAGCAAAGTTAGGCTTATGGTTATCTGTCTGTAGTTTTTCTCTTAATTTCTTTTTATAGATGGTTGTACTAAATACTAAGTCTTTTTTGGATGCAGTTCCATCAGACTACTTGACTTTGATCAGAAATTTTGTCTAGTGAACTATAGTGTGTATGTATGTGTGTGTGTGTGACAATATGCTGAACACTCACCTTCCCATACACAACAAAGTCTTCCCTTACATTCTTCCAGGCGGTTGCCCAGAAGACTCATTGAAGAGTATTTTCACATGTTTCGCCTCAAATATCACCGTGCCAAAAGAAAAATATTTTCGATATGATTTAGGATTTAAAGTAGCGTTTTGACTCCTAGAGACGCCTGTCCATGCTGATGTGACATTTACACGACTGACGCATCCGGAATATATATATATATATATTTATCACGTTTTCCTTATTGAACTGAATGTATATATATTTTTCTTTGCTTTTTCCAGAAGTCATATATTAAAAATGTTTTGCTCTGCATTTTATCGTCGGTATTTATTTAATACGTTTTTCCGACAGGTGTTTTTAAGTTCAAACGACACTCTCACCATGTTTAACACGTGTTTTAAAGTTTTCATGGGAGACTGCTGAATTTTTCTTGACACATTTGCATCTAAAGTTTAAATGCGTGAGTTTTACTTTCCCTTTTCTGTACTTTAGCACTTAAATTTTCTTATCACTTTAGTTGTAAAAGTGTCGTTGAGGGGTTTACACTTTAAGTTTTCTTCTTGAAGTGTTCCAACTGGAAGTATTCTCACTCGAAGTGTTCCCGCTCGAGGTGTTCCAGTCGAAGTATTTCTACTCGAAGTGCTCCTACTCGAAGTGTTATCACTCGAAGGATTCTCACTCGAAATTTTCACCAACGGAGTGTTTCCACTCTAAATGTTCCCACTGGAAGTGCTGCCATGCACGGCTAAGCAGTGTGTACAACACAACTATTAATAGCTCACACATAGTTAACATTAGGATTTAAAACACAGCTAATTCCATTTTGGCAAGGAATCACACAAGTTTATAAATATGGAGTAGGTTGAACATTTCCTTTTTGTTCAACGCAGTTTTCTTAATAGAGTCGGTTTACACAATCTTTAAATTTTTGTTTCAAACTTCAAAAATGTTGTATATAAAGTGGAGCCGAATGAAAAAAAAAATCTCTACCACAGGACTGACTGGCATTAAATGTGATGTAGATGAGACTTAAGAGGATTGAGCTGCTGAATGCCATCCACGTGACCCAATTCTTGAAAAGCGAGATACGTCATACTTCCGAAAATGCTGCACGATCATACACACCTGCGTGCACACACACACACACACACACACACACACACACACACACACACACACACACACACACACACACACACACACACACACACACACACACACATACACATCCTGATCCTTGACTGTCGCTTCACCTGATTCATCACAGTCCTATGTAATATTGAGCCCAAATAGTAGTTACGAACTTGGTTGCAAAGATTAATGAAAACAAGTGAGAATAGAGTAAAACTGAAGGAAGGAAGCAATTGTTTGTTTGTTTTAGGTTGGAAAATATCTCGCAGTCTTGGAAGCATATTTTTTTTATTTATAACTGCAGATTGAACTGTTGAATTAGAATGTATTTTTTTGTTATACTGATTGTTGAAAAATGCCTTGATGATATTTTTTGATGATGATGATGATGATGATATATATGCATATATATATATATATATATATATATATATATATATATATATATATATATATATTATATATATATATATATATATATATATATATATATATATATATATATATGTCATGCCGAATATGTAAAACTGGTCAATTAGCAAGAACTCATTTAAAATTAAGTCCTTTCTGAAATTTTCTCTTATGCGTTTAAAGATATATTTTTTTCATTTATGCTAATGTAAAAATTTTTATTTTTGCACCAAAAGAATCTTAGAAAACTTACCTAACCTTATTATAACAAGAGCAATCTAATTTAGCCTAACCCAACTAAATATATTTTAAATACGTTTACAATAATTTAGTACTAAACAAACTCAATCAAATATATTTTTTTTCGTTAGGTTCAGAATTATTTTGGCGAAATTATTGCATACACAAATTTTCACTTGTCCTATATGGCAAGATATGCGTTGCTATTTAAGCCAAGATCGCAAGTTCTGCCTATTCGGCACGACATATATATATATATATATATATATATATATATATATATATATATATATATATATATATATATATATATATATATATATATATATATATATATATATATATATATAGTTCCTATTCTCTGAATAGGAACTAAAGCCCAATTAAAACCTGTAATATCGACTTTAGTAACATAAATTTCGTTTCTTAACTCATTTAAGATTTTTTGCTCTTTTCTTTTCAGATTTCCAGCATATATTTTTAAACATTGGCATTTCATTACAAAGAACCTGAAAATATATCATATTTTCCCATGTTTTTTTGGTGGAACCGACAAGTTGCAAGTAAAAGACACATGTGCATTAACCAAGACATTTATTACAGATACGTGTCGCGACGAGTGGGTTTTTCGGCCTGAATAAGCCACTCGTGACCAGGGCCAGATTAAGACACGGGCTTTAGGGGCTGCAACCCAGGGGTTCTGCAGTTTATAATTATAGTATGTTATTACATCACGTATGTGTTGAATTGTTTATTGTCTATTTTCCTTTACCTGTAGACCAGGAGTATACAAAATCTTAATCCGGCTATGCTTGTGACAAAGCACTTTTACATTAAATGTCTCTTCCAGTGGATGCGTCTTTTTCCTACTGTGGAAATTAGCAGAATACATAGAAAAAAATCGATAAAGTCTTTTTTAGATTATCGCACGAAGTCAAGTATTTTCTGGCGTTGATAAACAAGTTCTGAACTCATTTTGAGAGACTATGAACTAATAGGAAAGTTCTGAACTCAGTGTGAAAGGCAGTGAGATAATGGGAGTTCTAGTGTGAGTGTGAGACGGTGTATCAATGGGAAAGGGACTTACTGTTGAGAAAAATACGACAATCACGTTTTATCATCTGCTGGGAACTTTCATTGGTTCTGACGTTCAGGGAAGTACTTGCCAGCTTGATGGATCATTTACGATGAAAAACACGTTTTCTTCGCCGCTTTTAGAAAGATGTAAGGGAGACTAGCTTTAATTTTTGAGAGTGAATAGTCATTTATTAGTACGAAATTAGAGCATCATTGTTTGTCCCCATGAAACAAAACAATTATTTCCTATATATTTTAGATAAACAACAAAAAACTGTCTTACAATAGTCCCCTTTAGTAAATGTATTTCTTTTTGTAAGTAACGATAGAAATATAATGATGAACCATCCTGTCCTCTTCAACACCTATTTCCTCATATCACAGCATCACAGAGCGGAACTATCAGAGGTAGTCTGCATGCTTCCTGGCTATTGATACCTACCTCAATCTTCTGCTCTTTGCTCAGATTATAAACTGAGAATGCAGGTCAGAGAATAAACTTCATGATAATGTATGACTATGAATGAAATATAATATAAACTGTATTTATATGTATAGCGTACCTATATGAAGAAGATTGGGTTAGGTGTCAGGGGTCATGAAGCAAGAAGTTCACCATCTCTCTATCATTTCACCAGTTTTCTGTTAAAAATAATTTTAATCTAAATTGATGTTGACGATATATAAAGCAAAATACCGAGGCTTCTTCCAGCTGATGCGTGAAGTTTACTGAAAAGTGAAGAGTTTAAAAATAAAGCACTTTTTTCTTTCTTCCTGTAACCATTTACAAAATTAATATTACGGCATTTTTCTTTTGAAATAAAATGGTTTAATAAACATCTATTATTCTACACGGAAAGCTCAATGTTACATGATTTATTTCACATAGTAATAAATATTAGTTGGCCATGAGAAAAGTAGTAAATAGTAAACAGCAAACACAGAAAGATAACTCATTAGTTAATCCTTTTATGAAACATAGAAACCGAACAGAACACCCGAGTCTTTTGCGTGTGTAATATTTTCACTTGGTCCTGGAAAGGGTGGCCTTCCAGCTTCTTTTTGTAAAGTACATAGATAAAGGCTACCTTAATGGGCAGTTGTTTATTGACATTTGTATTCTCTCGCTGAAGATTGCCCAATACCACTCTTAACAACAAATTTACAAGCTATATTTGTGGCAGCACAGTGAGAAGTGATAAGCACCACACTAACTGGCTAAGAGTCTCAACGCCAGTCCACTTACAATATACCATCTCTGATAACGATTGTCGGTATAGATGATAACTATCCAACGTTTGGCAGCAGACTAACACATCTGAATACAATCCTACTGCCAAATGCTGAGAAAATATCGAAGACATTCAAGAAAAATTGTTATCGAGAGTAAACTGATGTGCTGGCAGTCACTAGGAGTCGTGATGGTATTTTGCTCTTGTATCTGCATACATTAACAATAGAGCATCAATTCAAAGAAAGATTACTGGAGTACAGTAAAATTATTTACTGTATACGATCTTCTTGAGATAGTTGTCACTAGTTGATTCTCCTAGACGATTCTTTCTTAGAACCATCTACAATTAATTGGAACGTATTTGTTCACTCCATTAGTTTTTTTTTTTTGTACACTTTTCTCAACAGAAGACTTGGGCGCTCGGTCCTAGATATATTTCACACGACATGGAATACATATTCGTATACATCTTTCTAGAAAGTCGGTAAATGATGAGTAACTATACATATGCTTTACTAATATCCAATTTTCTTTAACCAAATGAAAATTGTTTGTTGAGCCATGATAAATTAAAAAAAAAAAAAATTCAGGAGACTCAAAAATTTACAAAAACCCACATCAAGAGCCTCCTTGGATCAAGACTAGCGAGATATTTTTTATATACATAAATTTCTGAATCCTGGCTACCATGGCCTTGATTTTTTGGCCTATTATTAAAGGTTTATAAATGTTTACAAAACGACACTTCCCATGATTTATCCACTGCTAAGTACTAACAGGGGAAATATATTTTGTACGACTCTATATGTACACATAAAAATCATATATTTATTTACACGTATTATGTACAAGAGTGTGGGAAGGATGGGATACACTGATCACCGACTTCTGCCTACTGACGCACACCGACCGTAACTCCGGCTGTTCTCCAAGTCGGCGACGGGAAAGATGTGCTGCTGTGGTGGTTCAGTAATTGTCTTGGTGTGGTTCATACGAAGCGTTGCTCCTTCTACCTCTCGTTCTACCATAAAGAGAAGGACGGGAACTTCTTTAAGGGCTTCCACTAATATGTCCGGATGCTTCCAGGAATGCATTAAGTAATCTCCCTGCACGGGGAATGCTACTTCAGTGTTGGCCAAGCGTAATGAAATCGCATTGTCCCTATTAAGGTCACTAGCACCGAAGGAAGCCAGTGTCTTGTAACTTTGGTTTCGTGCCTCCGTGACCTGACCCTCCAGGCCGACAAGCACTTCTTGTACAAGATGAAGAGCGTCGACTTTCAGAAGCTCCCGGAGAATTTCAGAAGTCCTCAGCCTCTCATGATCAAAGGCGATCGCGGAGAGCGCTTGGAGACTGGTGGATGTGAAAGAGGTGGTGGAGAGGAGAGATCCTGAAGAGGAAGAGGAAGAGGAAGAGGAGGAGGAGGAGTAGACGACTATTGGAGGATCAGTGGATGAGTCAGGATCCAGGGTTCTTTTCTTTGCCGCCAACTCATTATTTTCTTCATTAAAACCGAAAGCCAGACTGCAGATGAGGACAAAGAGGAGAACGAAAAGGGTGACATGGATGTTGATCTCGGAGGCGCAGGCGCCGTTCCGCTCTCCTTGCATCGCTGCTGGGTGCTTCTCTGCAGGTGAGAAAGAAAGCAAAATATGTTAATACTCAGCTGAGGAAAAGCTCTCTCAATTTTCAGAAATGAAGGTGCAGGCACGAGAATACTTACATTCACTCTGTACAACGTTTCCTTCTCAGCTTTACGAGACAAGGACATTAGATAAGTACACTACACTCTTCTTTGACTTTCCGCTTCAATACATCCATTGCATGTCAACTGCACTTGCAGAACAAAAATTGAATTCTCTGGTTACTTTTATTATTTAAATTCATGCGGAAGCAGCAAACCGCTAGAGGCAAACAGAGCTTTAATAACCTATAATGCGTGTAAATAAATATTTTATTTTTATGTACAAACAGAGTCGTTCAAAATCAGATTTGATCAGAGGAAAGAGAGGCTAGCTCATATCACTTGGATAAAGAGCCTTTTACCAGCATCAAGGATCCCTCCTTTCTGAAGGGGAGTTATCTGATGAAATAAATGATCTTAAACATACTTACAGTGAGTAAATATATGTGTCTGCGGGTGGTGAGGTCCGGCTCTTAGGCCTCGTACTTTTGACCGGATAATGGTCTACCTTTGTATTTGTCTTTGATACCGTAAAATAATTTAACTTATAGTTAATATCACTAATAGAACGTTGTGAAAGTGCTTCCTTAACGCTGACATATTACGATGCTAATATTCCTTCGTTCTAGTCCCTCCCAAGTCAAAAGCTGTTTTTTTTTTTTACATTGTTCACACCCTGGAGTATTTTCTACATCGTGATTGTGTCTCCTCTTTTCTACATTCCTCCATAGTCATTAGATCTAGGAATCGTCAAAGGAGAAAACCGGAGGGTATTTATTACTCGTTCAGATTCTTAAGGTAATTAAGTTTCCTAAACTGTTTTATGCAACTGATGTTAGGGTGTTTCGAGAGGCAGGTTAGAGGTGATGCTTCCTCTCAGATCTTTCTTATTAACCGATGCTGAAGATGCTCCCCGCGTTCTCTTTTTCTCTCTCTCTTTCATTTGCACACTTATTCTATCACATTTCATTTAGCACTTTCACGCTCTTACTTTCTTTAACTTTTTCTCTTGCTCCCACTTTTGCTGAATTGTTTCTACCATTGCTCTTTTTCTCTATCTCTCTCTCGCCCTCATTCTCTCTAGAACACTCGCTTTCTCCACTCGGTCTCTTGATCTCACTTTCTTGCTCGAGCTCCTTAGCTCACTTTCACTTTTTCCTTTTCAGTCTCTTGCTTTCCGTCTCACTTTCTTGTACTCCCTCTCTTGCACTCTTCCCCTCTATCGCTTTCCTGCAATATCGCTCCCTAGCGCTCAGATTTGGTCAATAGAAATTTTATTAGCTCCAGCTACAAACAGGTCAGCAATTTAAACTAGTGAACCCTGTTCCTGTATGTACCAGGGTTAGACCCATGGCTGATACTGTTCTTTTTAGCGTTCGTAACTCTATAATGAAAAAGGGTTAATAAATCGCGGACACTTTTCAGACACCCTGAAGAGCAATGGTAGGGTGGTTGGTTAATGGGGTTTAGAGCCTAATGTCTAAAAGAGGGTCATTAAGGCTGCACAGTAACCTTTCCACTTCCAGACAGGAATACTTTAATCTTTAAAACAGGGATTAAAGGAGATTCTCAGCATATATTGGCCGAGAGAAATGCACCTCTCGGGTTATTTATATATCTTGTCTACGAGCAATATTCTGAGGAAAAAAAGTAGATAACAACGTGTTTAATAATTTGTTAGACGTAGGACTGTAATAACAACAACAACAACAACAACAACAATAATAATAATAATAATAATAATAATAATAATAATAATAATAATAATAACAATTTATTATTGCAACACGGAATGAATTTGAGGGAATTTTGTGAATTGATCATGTAATTGTCTGAAACCCATAGCGTGCGTAACATTATCAGTTAAAAATCCAATTAACAAGAAAAGACTAATTGACTTTGAAGCCTTTTGACAGCACGAAGGGTCAATAAGGCGGAATGTGTTCGCTGCAAGTTAATCCCAGATATCAGACCAGTGGGGAGTAAGCGTACTCCAAATGTATATATATATTATATATATATATATATATATATATATAATATATATATATATATATATATATTATATATATATATATATATATCGTGCCGAATAGGCAGAACTTGCGATCTTGGCTTAAATAGCAACGTCATCTTGCCATATAGGTCAAAGCGAAAATTTGTGTATGCAATAATTTCGCCAAATCATTCTGAACCTAACGAAAAAAATATATTTCACTGTGTTTGTTTAGTATTAAATTATTGTAAACAAATCTAAAATATTTATAGTTGGGTTAGGCTAAAATAAATTGTTCTTGTTATAAAAAGGTTGGGTAATTTTTTCAAAGATTTTTTTTGTGCAAAAAAATTTTTTTTTTATAATAACTTTAAATAAAAAAAATATATTTTTAAAAGTATAGAAAAAAATTTAGAAAGGATTTTGATTTTAATGAGTTCTTGCTAATTACCAGTTTTACATTCAGCACCCCGATATATATATGTCGTGCCGAATAGGCAAAATTTTGCTTTTTTGGCTTAAATAGCAACGTTCACTTGCCAATGGGACAAGAAAAAATTTGGTATGAAATAATTTCCCCAAATTCTTCTGAACCTAACGAAAAAAAATAATTTAAATTTTTTGTTAGTTTTAAATTTTTGTAAACAATCTAAAATATTTTTTAGTTGGGTTAGGCTAAAAAAAATTGTTTTGTTAAAATAAGGTTATAAGTTTTCTAAGATTCTTTTGGAGCAAAATAAAAAATTTTTAATTAACGTTAATGAAAAAAAATATATTTTTAAAAAGACATATAAGAAAAAATTTTAGAAAGGACAAATTTTAAATGATTCTTGCAAATTGACCATTTTTTACATATTCGGCACGCATATTATATATATATAAAATTATATATATATATATATTTTTAATTTTAATTATATATATATATATATACTGGGAAAATACACCCCTCCACGTATACTTTACTCTGTTGCATCAAATAAAAGCGTATACTCATGAACCCCCTTTTTAAAAAATTAAAGACGAAATGTAGTTTTACCTTTATTTTCCCCATCTGTGAATGCAGGAAAGATTTAAAAAAAAAGGATGCGGATACCTAGGTTTTTTTTTTTATTTTGATGTTTATTTAATAAAAGATCAGTTGATATCGAGTTCAAAATAAAATACGAATATGTACTTTTTTTATGTGGCGATATTCATAAATAAATTATTCTTTTATTAGTGGGTCTTTAAAACACAAATATGTTTTGGAAGATTGGGAGAATAAAAACAAGTGGGTTAGTTAACAGAAATTGGGCTAATTGTAGGAAAGGTTTAAAATTAGTTGATTTTTACGTTAATTCTAAAAAAAAATTAAATTTGCATGATCGATGAAAAAACAGTTTTTGGGAAATTTTAGACAGCAGCGAACTTCCAATTTTGCCCAAGTCATCACCGCATAAACGAATCGAAGCTTTCATGCAACACTAAATTTTTTGTAGATTTTAAAAAAGGATTAACATTGACCCATCCCCCCAGCTTACCAAAAAAAAAACTGTTGAGAAATTGGGAAGTTAGGATTTTTTTTTTTAATTACCCCAAAACTAACCCGGCAGAAACCAAAACCATTCAAAAATTTTACTAAATGTAAACCCCCTTTAATTTAACGTCACTGAGAATTTGAAAATTTAAAATCTGACTCGATTTTTTTTTTGGGGGGGAGGGGGGGAGGATGAGGGATGCCCCGATGAAAAAGTCTGAATGGCGGCAAGAAAAATACCCCATTGTGAAAGAGCAACATGGAGACAATGGAGAAAAATTTATAGAAAGAAACGTCACTGAAACGTTTTTGCCCGTGGAGGGCTTCTGTTTTCCCAGGACGCGTGTCATATGAAAACTTCAATAAAGTTCCTTCTGAAGTATCTTTTTTTAAAGAGGCAACGATACAACTAACGCAGGGACAGATGAGACGTAAAAAAACAAGAGCTTATACACATAAACTAGTTTAAACTATAATATATTGCAGAAAAAAACGATAAAAAATTTTTAACACCTCATCCAGTTACAGACAGAATGATTTTTCGCCCTATGTGCTTTCCTTTTAACATTATTGGGTGAAAACCTCCCCTAAATCTTTTATGATTATAACTCTAAAGGGATGTCCCAGAAAGGCCCTCATACACATAACCAAAACTCCACTGAAGAATCATCAAATTTTTCATATTTTTTCCTTAAAATAAAATATAAAATTCGAAATAAATTCGAAACACTTGAAATTGTGCAAAAAAGGGTATAAAATCCCGACAAATGTAAAGATAAGACATGTGAAATTGGTATCTTTATTGTAGACGTTTCGCCTCCATCTGTATTGTAAAGCCACGGGAGGGCGAAATCTACAATAAAGATATCCAATTTTGCCATGTGTCTTATTTTTCCATTTGAAATTGCTGAAAAAAAATTGTACTAAAATTAAGAGGGATGAACATTTTCCTGGGAGGGGAAGAACTCCCTTTTCCCACTACATTTCTTTTTTACAGTAATAAGACGGTCATGGAAATGGGTAAAATTTCCCACCTTATTACATGATAATAGAGGTGCAAAACAGAACTGACATTGCTAGATAATATTTAAAAAAACTATAGTATATTTTTTTAATTACCCATCGAAGTCTTGTGATTCTTTGACAATTGCTTTTTTAAAATATTACACTCCAAAAAAAGTTCTGGAAATATAAATCCAAAATCTTCATAATAAAATTAAAAAATTTTTTTTCTAAATTCAATTAATTAAATAATTAAAACAGTATTTTTTGAACCACTTTTGATAAAGGCCCCAGAAAAATTTTTGGCACCAGCGAATACTAAACCCTTTTACATTGAAACTTCAATCAGAAACCAGGGAACTCGAATACCTGAATAATTATAGGATTTCATATAATTCATGTGACCTGTCTCATGAATTCTTAAACGATCCGAAAGTTTGTGTAATAAGTCACAGGTCATTTGTTTTTATAACCACGTAGAATCCCCTGAGAGTGATACACTAAGTGGCGCAAACGGTTTATTCTTTAAAAAAACGTTAGCGTTTTTTCCTTTCTAGTCCTTACGAGTGCTGAGGGGAAAAAATACTCTTACAGTGTGTCTTCAAGATAGAGAAAATATGAACCTGCAACTCGGAGCGAATCTAAAAAAAAAAGTTGGAAATTCTCCAGAGGGACGTTATAAGGCCATGTCCTTGAAGTTAGTACTCATTTTTTACTATTTTTATTTAAAAAATTCACTCTGGAAAGAAAACTTCCTTTGAGAGTGGGTTTAAGGAGGGACAAACCACGAAATGACCTCAAAGCGTAGGTGGAAAGGGTTAGAGAGGCGTATCTCGGGTTTTTTGTAAATGTATTTGTGTGTGTGTGTGGTGTGTGTTGTGTGTGTGTTTTGTGTGTGTGTGTGTGTGTTTCACTGATTTTTTAAAGCCTGGTTTCTTTCCGCCTTTTAAGCTGGTTAGGGCCCTTTTGAGCCTGGATATTTTCAAAAACCTTGCATAGAGTTCGCCCCACCACCCCACACCACTCACTGAACGTTTCTAATGTTTGGACGAAAAATTTCCCTAATATCCATATAATGTATTGTATTTTATTTTAAAATTCTGTTTCCTCCCCCTGGTCTCGCATTGCAAACCCTCAGTCACCTATCTAAGCATCTGATACTTTTAATCATGCCCCCCTCGATTTGTTGGGGTGAGCTCTAGTTTTTACCCTCGTCTCCAATTTTCAATTAACAATGCAAAAATAACCCAGCCGCATTCTTTGAACCCCAGTATGGTTTCCCGCTACAACTGGTCACTGTTCAACTAGTTTCCTTCCTTGTCAACCATGTTGAGGAAGTTTTTCTGAAGCCCGGGTCATTTACGTGGTTTTTTTGACTTTTTTGATACGTGCCTTTACGGTTCTTTTTTATTCCTTGAGCACTTTTTAAATATAGTACTATCTTGTTTTCATTTTCCCATTAAGGGAGGGCCTAACTTTTTCTTTCCCACCCTGAGCCTCAAAATAGTAATATGAAAACCCTTTGACCATAACCTGGATAAAAACCACAGGGGGAAAGTACATTTAGATAATTTAGAAAAGGGGTTACTCGAGTAAGAAACAGTTAAAAATTTTCATAAAGCTTGGCAAATATAATACTAAAACACAGATTTAAAATTACTCCGAGAATTAGTAGGCAGAGTGACAAACCATTGAGTACTGAATGAAACTGGGGCAGCGTGGAGGTTGGAGGATACAGGTGTATTACCACTCTGTTCCGTCGTCCTTGTGGAGGTCGGGGTGGATTGTGGCTTTCAACACCTGTCTTTACCGTTACCTACCAAGGAGAAAACAAGAATTTTTGTCAAAATTTACTTAGTGATTAAAAAACAAATTAATTCTGATATAATTAATATATAATTTATATTATATATAATTATAATATTATATATAAATAAAGAGAGAGAGAGAGAGAGAGGAGAGAGATCGCAGTCAGCAGGGCTCGCAACTGTACTGAGGACGGCAAAATTCCAGGTAACGCCTTATCCAGTGGGTAAGAGCGCCGCCTAAAAAAAAATATTTAAAAAAATAAATGATATATTTTTTTTCGTTACGCTCGGATTGAATTTCGTTTTGGCTGAAAAAAAATTTCCCCAGATTATGCGCGTTTTTCAGTATTTTCTTTCTTGAGAAAAATTTAATCGCATAAAAGTACTTGCTAATTAGGGGGTGCCACACAGTCCCATGCGTTAAAAGGGGTTTCCCAAGGTAAACAAAGGCAATCTACTCACTGGAATTGGGCCCCAATAAAATTTTCCTTTTATTTCAAACACTCCCGTTCTGTCGCTTTGCCAGGACAAAAAAAAAAACAGGAAAATTAAAAAAGTTTCGTTAAAAATAACTTCTGTATGAGTTTTTTAAAGAATTATCTTTTCGTTTTTTTGCGCAACTTTCGTTAAGAAGTCTAGGTAATTCACGAAATGATCCAAATTTTCAGTTTTTGGGGAGCCCTTTTTACGTGGTTTTTTTTTTAACTGAGCAAATTATACACACGATATTTAAGCTGCAATTAAACCCGTGAGCGAGGTTTAGGTGTTAGCTTAAAAGGAATATGGGATGTAACATTGTACTGCTGTTTCAGGATTAGGACGCGGAGCTTGAATCTTTGAGAAATGGCTTAATAAGTTTTTTTTCTTTTAATATTTAAACATCAATGATTCCTTTGAGGTGAATGGGGTGATGGGGTGGTACATGTCAGATGAAGGGGCACCGCGCACAAACCCCACACACACATCACAAAAACCCCTAATACACACCAACCCCACACGCACCACACCACATTCACACATACACACACACCAACCCTACAACATACACACTTTCACACCCACCCAAACACAACAACACACATACACACAAAAACACACATTTCACAAACAACATACACACACACACACACCAAACACCACCACACACACACCACCACACACACATACACACATACACACATACACACACAACATACCACATACCACTACACACAAACCCCACACACACCACACACACACACACGCATACACACTACCAACATACTACACACACAAACACATACACCAACACAACACACACACACACACACACACACTACACCACACAACATACTTTCACACACACACACACATACACCCATACACCACACACCACACACACATACACACCATACACAAACACACACACAACCCCACATACCACATCACACAACATACACACACACATGCACAAACACACACACACCACACCAACACACACACACACAACACACACACAAAAACACACACATAAAAAAAAAAAATATAGTCATTTAAATTTAATTCCCCAGACATTCCTTTCAACTTCCCAAAATGTTTTTTTACCCTCACTCTTTTATGCATTGTTAGCCTTAAACATTATTTTTTTTAAAAAATTTACTTTTCACAGCTCTTTTGTTAGCATTTTTGCTTCGCCTTTTTTGAGATTTTTTTTTTTACCTTTCCTATACATTTTTACAAAAGTTCAATTTAAAAAATCTTCCGTCCCCCTTTAAAATTTTGTTTTATTTATTGCTATGCATCAAAAATCTTTTTGTTTATGATTTGAAATATTTCTTTAACCCCATACTACATCCCAAACCATTCCCAAAAACAAATTCAAAATAAACGATTTTTTTACACTTTTGAGTAATACATTTAAAAAAAAAAGGATAATTAATATTATCTTTAGGCAAATTTAAATTTCCCTTTTCTGGGGTCAGACTTCAGACTTCCGGGCCCGCAGGGTAGCATCGTTTTCCTGGGGGAACAACAAACTAATACCTGCATTTAATTAGAAAATACCTAGACTTTACGTATTATCAGTTGCCTTGTAAGAAAAGTAAAAATCCCATGTATCTCGGAATGGGGCTTAAAACGCCTAGTACGTAAAACCTAGGCGACCCCCAGAAGAAGGAACAAAACCATTTGGAACAAAAAAAAAAAGGAAAATTTTTCAAAAGGAAGACTATTTTGGGAAAAAGGTTCATACTATCTTTTTCGCATTTATAGAATCGTACTGCAGAGGCGACACTCACCCGTAGGTTTGGGGCACTCTGCCATACTCCTTGTCCTCGTGGTACCAAAAGTGCTGGCAGTTGTACCACGTCATGGGGTCTGACAGTCCACCCTCACCCTTGCCGCTCCGAACCTTTTTGGCCCCCCCCGGCACTCACCACCTTGGGAATGTGGAGAAGACACATGGGTTTGCTTATGTGTGTTATTTTGTGTGCGTATCACCCCTTTACTTACCCATTGTTTTTGCAAGGGCGATTCCCCGCTCCGCCCCCCCTCTTCACTGGCCGCTTTTAGGCCACCGTTCCCGCTCCATGGTTTTTAACCTCTTCTTAAAGCTCAAAAACCCTTCCCAGGGTATTCCCCTTCCCAAACTCTGTGCCGAAGAATACTTCCTATATCCCGTGATTCTCTGAGTCTTATCTTCCCAAATATGACCCATTTTTGTGTTCCTATCTCTAACTCCTTCTCTGTCCACCCTGTCATTCCTCTCAGTATTTTTTGTGTCGTTTCATACCCTCCCTTTCTTCTCCTGTCCCCCAGTGCCCTCAGGTCGATTTCTTTAAATTTTCCCCAAAGGGAACTCCAGTTACCTCGGGGACTAATTTTGTTGCAAAACTTTGCACTTACGTGTGTGTGGTGTGTTGTTGTGTGTGTGTGGGTGTGTGTGTGGTGTGTGTTGTGTTTGTGTGTGTGTGTGTGTGTGTGTTGTGTGTTGGTTCGTGTGTGTGGGCGTGGCGAGTGGTGTGTGTGGCTTTTTTTGAATGCGTGTTGTGTCCGCGCGCGCTTATCACTCACCTCTTGAGAGCGGGGTTCGAACCTTCTTCTTGCTTGGCTCACCTGTGACCCTTACTGGTTTTTATACTTTTAAAACATGTAGGCTCTTGCTATACCATTTCACAAATTATACTATTCTTGTCATTGAGGCTATGAAGTATTTCGTAAAATCCCTGTGATTCATCTGTGCCCTCATGTAATGAAACTCCCCTTTTTTAAACCTTTCCCGCCTGTCAAATTTCCCCTCAGTTTTTGTAAAATACATTTAAATGAGTATACTGGTTCATCCTAAAATAAAATCAGTTTCGGTGTGTGTGTGTTGTGTGTGTGTGTGTGTGTGTGTGTGGGTGGTGTGGTGTGTGTGTGTGTGCTTGTGTTAATGTTTGTGGACTCTGTTTTATATGTTTCTCTCCCTAAATTTCACAGGGAGAAAATTTCAACGAGTCACATAGTTTTCAATTAAGGTTGACGTTTCAAATTACTGTTTTTAAATCGATATTTTTTTTTTTACAAAAATTCACCTGCATTTCTAAAGCTAAAATAATATTTTAAATTTGATTTGTTTAAAAAGTCGTATTTAAAAAAGACAGAATTTCATTTAAAAATTTGTATTTGAGCATTTTATTGTAGATTCTTAAAACGGAGTAAACACCCTGTTTAGCACTATTGCTTTCTTTTCATAGAAAACTGTAATGCATTTCGGTGCCCTAATAAATTTCTCAGGAAAAAAAGAGGGAAGACGGTGTTTTTAAATTACAAGTTCTATTTAAAAATATCATTATTGAAAGGTGACAGGTGATTGACACTTTTATACTTCTGTTTGTATTCTGTACTGTTTCTTTTTTAGTTCTTCCTTACTTATTATATTTTTTCCTGTCTTTTTATATTTATTTGTTAGATAGTACAAGACGTAAGTAAAAATGACATAGCCGGCAAGTGAAAATGAAGACATGGGTAGTAGATTTTCTTTTTTTAATACCACGTTTTGCCCAAGGTTGGGATTTATGGAGCACGATAAAGCACAGCCTTGGGCAAACGTTTTTATTAAAAGGATTCTCTACTACTAGGAGATTTCAACTTGAGACACCTAAAATGGAGGCGTGTAGCAAATAATTTTTTATCAGAGATCACCCCAGGAGGCAGCTCAGATGAAAATTCACACACACACGAGCTATTAAATTTCTGCACCAAATTCACCTTAAACTAGAAAATATTAGAGCCTACAAGACTATAAAATACGCTGGACCTCATCTTCACTAACAACGACGATCTGAGTGTATTGTATCAAATACAATACACTCAGATAACAACATAATAGAGGTACAGACCAACAAAATGTGATCAGTCAATAACAAAATATGTGATCAGTCAATAACTAAAACGTACAATGGGAACAAGTCACCCACATCTTAAATGAAACAAGCTTGGAAGATATCCTTAACAACACGCATCCGAACTCTGTGGTTCTTGAGATTTGCTCAAGGCACATTCCATTTAGAAAAAGAAAGAGAAGATGTAAACTATAAAGAGAGAGACAGTACCTATACAGACGAAGGCGAAGAATCACAGAGGTGCTGAGAGGGACCAATATACCTGAAATACGAAGGGAGACACTGATCAATGAAATAGCAAATATCGAACTTAAGCTGAGGGAATCTTACAGGAGAAAAGAACTGCAGGAAGAACTAAAACCCATAAAGAAAACTAAAAAAAAATCAAAATACTTTTTCTCTTATGCTGAATCTAAGGGAAAAACAACATCCAGTATTGGGCCCCTGCTTAGGCGAGATGGGACATACATAGATGACAGCTAAGAAATTAGTGAGATACTAAAGACCCAGTACGGCTCAGTGTTCAGTGAGTCGTTACCCAGACTCAGGGTCGATAATCCAAATGAATTCTTTATGAACGAGACCCAAAATTTGGTCATCTCAAAAATCTCTGATATTATCCTAACACCACAAGGCTTTGAATAAGCAATAAATGACATGCCCATGCACTCTGCCCCAGGCCCAGACTCATGGAACTCCATGTTCATCAAGAACTACAAGAAGCCCCTGTTACTTGCCTTCAGCATTCTTTGGAGAGGGAACATGAGCACAGGGGCATTCCACACTCACTAAAAACAACAGACATAGCCTCACTCTACAAAGGTGGCAGTAAAGCAATTGCGAAGAACTATAGACCGATAGCACTAACATTCCATACCATAAAAATCTTTGAAAGGGTTCTAAGAAGCAAGATCGCCAACCACCTAGATATCCATCAGTTACACAACCCAGGGTAACACGGGTTAAGAGCAGGTCACTCCTGCCTGTCCCAGCTACTGAACCACTATGACAAGGTCCTGGATGCTATAGAGGATAAACAAAATGCAGATGTAGTATACACAGACTTTGCAAAAGCCTTCGACAAGTGTGACCACGGTGTAACAGCGCACAAAAAAGCTTGGTAAAGGAAAAACAGGAAAAGTTGGTAGATGGATCTTTAACTTCCTGACAAATAGAATACAAAGAATAATAGTAAACAGAGTAAGGTCCGAGGCAGCTACAGTGAAAAGCTCTGTTCCACAAGCACAGTACTCGCTCCCATCCTATTCCTCATCCTCGTATCTGACATAGACAGAGATGTAAGCCATAGCTCCGTGTCTTCCTTTGCGGATGACACCCGAATTGCCATGACAGTGTCCTCTATCGAAGACAGCAAAACTCCAAGCGAACATCAACCAAATCTTCAAATGGGCCACTGAAAACAATATGAAGTTCAATGAAGAGAAATTTCAACTACTCAGTTATGGAAAACTTGAGGAAATTAAAACTGTATCAAGCTATACAACAAATTTTAACCATACAATAGAGCGAGAAAGCAATGTGAAGGACCTGGAGTGATAATGTCAGGGGATCTCGCCTTCAAAGACCACAACAATGTATCTACCGCATGTGCTAGGAAAATGATAAGATGGATAATGAGAACCTTCAAAACTAGGGACGCCAAGCCCATGATGATTCTCTTCAAATCGCTTGTTCTCTCTATAATGCTGTGCACTACTGTCCAAACATAAGTACGATAAGGCACCTAAATTACTGGAAACGGTTGAAGTCCCTTGATTTGTATTCCCTGGAACGCAGGCGAGAGAGAGATACATGACAATACACGCTTGGAAAATCCGAGAGGGATTAGTACCAAATTTGCACACGAAAATCACTCCCTATGAAAGCAAAAGACTCGACAGGAGATGCAGCATTCCCACAATAAAAGCAGGGGTGCCACGAGTACACTGAGAGACAACACAGTCAGGGGCCCAAGACGGTTCAACTGCCTCCCAGCATACATGCCTACATAAGGAGGGTTACCAATAGACCCCTGGCTGTCTTCAAGAAGGCACTGGACAGGCACCTAAAGATAGTACATGACCAGCCGGGCTGTGGTTCTACGTCAGTTTGCGTGTGACCAGCAGTTACACCCTAGTTGATCAGAATCTGATCCACCACGAGGCCTGATCTCAGACCGAGCCGCGGGGGCGTTGACCCCTGAAACCCTCTCCAGGTATACTCCTGTACGAGATGTCTTTATTGAGTAGAGTTAGGCACATTTAACCATTATTTACTGTCCCCAGTCCCAAGACTGCTGACTTACAGAAAACCATGAAAGAGAGATTGTCTACAGAGAAAAACAGATTCTAGCGGATCTCACATCTATCAGCGTTAAGAACACATCTATTAGCTGAGGTCAAACTCGTCACTATATGACAAAAACCTACATTCTTAAAACTGAGCCAAAATAATCAGGTCACTTAACCTTCCTTACCTCCCTCTTCCTGTTAACCCACGACTATTTTCACTGCTTTTTCTTATCCCATTATTTACCCTCTCCATTCATACCATCCCTGTTATGACTTACCCCCCCCCCCTTTTCAAATTTTTTTTAAGGTTTGAGTTTTAAGATCTCTCAGTGTTAAATTTGAGAATGTTATGAATCACTTGTGTTTGTTAAAGTTTCAGTGTTAAAAATTTTCTAATGGAGAGTAGAGAGGTAGAAGTAGTTGTAGATATAATAGAGATAATACTGGTTGTAGTTTTAGTCGTAGTAATTGTTGATAAATTAGACACTTGTGCAACTCTTGGGTATCTTTATTGAGGAAACGTTTCGCCACACAGTGGCTTCATCAGTCCATACATAGGAGAAACTTGAAGTAATTGTTGTTGTTATTTTTGTTGTTGTTGTCTTTGTTGTTGTTATTGTTTTTGTTGTTGTCTTTTTTTTGTTGTTGTTGTCTTGTTGTTGTTGCTTGTTGTTTTGTCTTGCTGTTTTGTTTGTTGTTTGTCTTTGTTTTTGTCTTTGTTGTTTTGTCTTTGTTGTTTTTGTCTTTGTTGTTTTTGTCTTTGTTGTTTTTGTCTTTGTTGTTTTTGTCTTTGTTGTTTTTGTTGTCTTTGTTGTTGCTGTATTTGTTATTGTTGTCTTTGTTGTTGTCTTTGTTGTTTTTGTCTTTGTTGTTTTGTCTTTGTTGTTGTTGTCTTTGTTGTTGTTGTTACTGTAGCATTAGTAGCAAAATACGAAATGGCAGAGTGAGAAATAAAAATAACAGAGGTTTAAATAGAAGAAATATTAAAGGACACAACAGCGGAAGCAGAATCATCAGAAGAAGGATAAATAGCAACGGAAAAAAGCAGGTGAGAATAAAAAACATAAAACAAAGAGTAGAGGCAAAATATGTTAACTTAGGAAGAAGTAACATTACGAATCGACGCAGAAATAGAAAAGAAAAGCAGCAAAGAAAAAGTAAATGAAGGATCAGAAATAGACACAGAAGAAGAAGAAAGAGACGTAGAAGTAGGTTCATAAACTAGAAACACAAACATCAATGGCAACAGAAACGGTGGTAGCAGTAGATGCAGTAGGAGTAACGCTATTGTGTGTACACTCTGTATAGTGCACTTACATCCTGTGTGCTTAAGTTGTTCAGCGTCTGTACAACCTGTGTGCTTACGTTGTTCAGCGTCTGTACATCCTGTGTGCTTACGTTGTTCAGCGTCTGTACAACCTGTGTGCTTACGTTGTTCAGCGCCTGTACATCCTGTGTGCTTACGTTGTTCAGCGTCTGTACAACCTGTGTGCTTACGTTGTTCAGCGTCTGTACAACCTGTGTGCTTACGTTGTTCAGCGTCTGTACAACCTGTGTGCTTACGTTGTTCAGCGTCTGTACAACCTGTGTGCTTACGTTGTTCAGCGTCTGTACAACCTGTGTTTACAATGTCTTGCGTTTGTCAATTCTGTGTGTTTACAATGACAGAGCATTTACACCCAGTGCAATTACATCGTAAAGCGCATTTACACGCTGTAAGTTTTCATCGAAACGTACATTTACACCCGGTGTGCTTACAACGTACAGTGGATTAACATCGTTTACGAAATTTGAAACAGCACGACTACCCCACTGAGCATTTGTTTATGTATGAGTGAGTGTTCATATCAGAGGCCTTCACAACGTCTCCTTACATTAAGGAGTGAGAATAACAGAGGTAAGCCAGGTTCATTGTAAAACACATGGGCGTAACTCCAACGTATTCGTTTACACACCATATATTTACTCTGGGAGAGGGCAATTTACATTTTACGAGGCTATATTTGTAAGTTTAAAGCCTCTGTATCCTTTTAATGTCCGTCGCATCCTAGACTAGAGTGGAGGTAGCTCCTCTTAATTTTTCATAAAATTTTATTTTTCACCTCAACGTTCCGTTTCTTAAGAAAAGCTGTGTGTTGTGTTTCTCTTTGGGAGTGCCAGTGAATGTGTGAGTGAAAGTTATGTGTATCTGTGCGTGTTTTTGCGGTGTGCTTCTGGGGGCGTGTGTGCGTGTTGTCTGGCAGTTCATGAACTTCCCTGTGTCTGCAGGCACACACGTGGAATGTCACGTCACTCTGTGCGTGTTCACATGTAATCTATATTATCCTTCAGCCTTTATGAGTGGCAGCGTAAGTGGTTGCTTGTGTTGAATTCAATTTGGCTTTATTCACCCTCCCCAACTATACCAATAATATTGATCGGAAGGTTAATAACAAAATACTTGAGTCATTGCACCTTAAGATGGCACACTTAATCAAGGAATATAAAATGTCAAACGTCCCTAAAGTGCCCACAACGTATGTCACTTTCACGTACACAACACTCTGGACGTATAATGGAAACAGTTTTCCTGTAATAATGTATATATACAGGCAATAAAAATGAATATATTCTCGACAAAAGAAACAGACACTCGTACAACTGTTCAGTACAGCGTCACCGTTCAATATTAAAATTATTAACTTCCCTCACTCTTAAAAAAAATTATGCTCTTTCTACTTCCTATAGAGAAGCTTAACCACCTTTGCAACCTTTACGAAGCTGCAAAGTGCTCAAATATGCATTCAGTTTAATCTGACTATCCCGTCACCATCAATGAAAACGATCTAGAAATCCACATGGTAGCACAATCAATCATTATTGAATTAGGAACCTGTTCCAACTTGTATAGTGTATCACCATCAATCCTTTACTAGCCAGGAATCAATTCCAACCATCCACAAAGAGGCACCATCACTCCTTATATAGCTGATCATTAGTCCATCATGGAGAACCAGAATATCGAGCATCGTAAACTTAAGTAGTTTTTCAGCAATTTCTTGGCTACTTATTGTTATTAGTTCTATCAATCTAATAAAAAAATCATCCTTGTGTATTCAGCAGCATCACTGTCGCTTGTTGGTCCTTGACGTATGTATTGCGTTCTGTTATTTGTTAAACAATTTTCCCCCTGAAATTGTTGCTTCCTGAACTGTGTTCTGTTATCTGCCATGCTGTTCGCTCTTGTTTAAAAGCCAAGAGCACATGGCAGCTCATTCACGATTTCTCACTACCCAGGGAACAGATATCAGGATCCAATGACGGCTACATCCCCACCCGACTTTTAAAGTGCCGGCCCAAAAGTTACAGACTCCAGTCTGGCTAATTGGTTTCCTTGTATCCGGTCAAACAGATTACCATTATCAAGCTCCAACAGCATGTCAAATCCCCCACAAAACCAGTTGTCTCCATTCACTCCAATCTAGCACGCTGAATGTTGAAACCCCTGTCAATGTAATCCTCCTTCACACCCTCCGTCCAACTTTAAATATGATGTCCCTATGATTTTCATTAACTCCAGATTTACAACACTCTCCCTCTTAATCAACCTTCCACTTATTTTTGCTTTATTATATCGAGTAGGTAAAGGCTTTAAAAATTAACAAAGTAACTTTTATCTCATATGGTTCACACTAATTATTAATGTCTTTACTTCCTCTCTCTCTCTCTCTCTCTCTCTCTCTCTCTCTCTCTCTCTCTCTCTCTCTCTCTCTCTCTCTCTCTCTCTCTCTCTCTCTCATCATAAGTACTATAATTACGAGTGACAAAGTCTGACGGAATGTAAAACCCCAGACTTACTCTAAACTTTCCAAACTGTACTAACAAATGCAAGAAATAAAAAATATATAAGACCATAGGCAACAGGAATGGGAGCAATTTGTTACTGGGTTCAGTTGTTTAACCTGGAAAGGTATAAATAAAATAACTACGAAAAAAATGACCTCATAAATGACCTCATAAATGCATGAAAATCTCTCATCTCATATTAGAATAAACTTAAAGAATATGAATTAAGGTCCATCAACCGCCCTTGCAGAGGATGGTATAACTTATGACATCCTCAGAACTTTAAGGTCAAGGTCCTGATAATCCTTTGTTAGCACTGAATAATCTTAGTCACATCACTGTAGCTATCCCTAAGCCCCAACAGCCCGATACATTTAGACCAATTTCCTTAACTACTTGTCTTAAAAAAGCTCATCTCTCTCTTTCTCTCTCTCTCTCTCTCTCTCTCTCTCTCTCTCTCTCTCTCTCTCTCTCTCTCTCTCTCTCTCTCTCTCTCTCTCCTCTCTCTCTCTCTCTCTCTCTCTCTCTCTCTCTCTCTTCTCTCTCTCTCGTTCTCTCTCTCTCGTTCTCTCTCTTGCTCTCTCTTCCCAATTTCCTCCGTGGCCGGAGTGCACTTTCTCCTGCTCTCCAGGCATGGCACCCAGAGGAAACATGAAGCACCTGGCTGCAGTGTACGAACTCCGGCTTCCACTTTTGCCTTTTCCCTGAGGCCAACACTAAACACTGGAGTTTACGCCACTAAAACCCCGGCAGTCGTGGCTGCACACACATACACACACACGCACACACAACAAGTTTTGCCCCTCTGGCCAGAGACTGTGGCTAACATTCTCACGCCTGTCCCATTCCCACAAAGTTATTCCCTGTAGCTTTATCGTTTCTACTTTTGTAATTATGTCTGTGGGTGACGACGTACATTTCGAAGCGGTGAAAAATAACGAGAAGTTAAGCATCATATGTTAATTGGATTTTACATTTTATTCCATAAGTGTTGTTAGAATGTAGTTAGACATGTAAGATGAAATTCTGGAAACTGTTTTGCTTTGTTATCATATCGTTATACCTACAGAAGTTACTGTTTACAACATATACATACTTGTTAAATGTTAGATATTCCTAGCGAATAGTTGATGAGCTGTTAAAATGAGTTAGTTTGGCTGGATTAATGCCTGTCAACTGCACCTGCCTCATTAAGGCTTCGCTTCAATTGTGCACTAACACCGAGAATAATTGAACCATTATAATTAGTCATAAATTAAACTCTCTGTACATGCACACTGAGAGATACATATGTCTAGGTGAATAAACAGTGGGTTGCACTTAGAGATACTCTCCTCTCGATAATGTATGTCGGTGTGTGTGAAAAATTCGCATTTTTTCGAATTTACAGTGAAAATTTCACGACTTTCGTTGTACATGCTCTAGTTCAAGATAATTAGGTGAACATCATAGAGTTAATGAAAACATATAAAGCAAAATTGCAAGGAGATAATGTTAAATTATGAAATTAAAGAAAGATTTTTTTTTAAGTTCTAGTGATAGAAGATTTAGATTCTCGTGGAGAAAGGTATCTTCTACTGTACAATTTGTTGGTAAAAATGAGTTTTAGAAATGAATGAGAATCTTACTATAACATGAAAGAATTAAATTACACAACACAGCGAAGAATGAAAATCGAACCGAAGCAGCAGCAATTGTAGATTACCCATTAGCACGACTTAGCCACAGAATTTTTACTGGTTCCCCGAGTTTATCGCTAGTTCGATTCCCAATACGTTTTGCATTTATTGCATACATATGTATGCCCCTCATCATCCTGTATATTGCAGCGAATTGCGAATAATCGGGCAATAGTAAAGAGACGTATCGCCTAGGCAGTGTGCCGAACGTTGTAAATAAGGTTCCGTATAACTCCTAATGTAGCTCCTAATGTAACTCCTAATTACCTTGGTATCAGTATCTCAGATCGTAGTAAAGCAAGTCTATTTATTAAACCACAGGTCGCACTAAACAGGGTTTTAATCTGTGCACTTAATAATGCCCCATTTAGGTCGAGAGTCATCAAATAAAAAATATTTAGATACATTTATGTCGCATGCCACGTTGTACAAATTATACACCAGCTTTCTTTGCACAATAGTTTCATTTAATCTGCATCCAGTTTGCCATCTGTTTATAACTAATACAAACATTCCATATAAAAATTAAAGATATTTCTGTCTCCCTCCTTGATCATTATCATGTCGCTGCTTGATGCATGGTTTTAGTCAGACCGAAATGTCGTCAAGTCTCCGCTGCACTTTATGAGCTACGGTATTGTGAGGTTACTTGTAAACTGATCCAGCCAGTGTATTGTGAGGTTACCTGTGAATTGTTCCAGCCACTGTATTGTGAGGTTAGTTGTTAATTGTTTTAGTAATGATATTAGGAATTTTGTTCTACGTATTTGTATTTTAAATCTTAACATTATTTTTTTCTCTAAAGTTTTTTCTTCTTATCAAAAACAATTTTCAGTCTAGTTATTCTGTCATTTTTAATGTATTCTGATTAATTTAACACCGTTTTGGAGAGTGTATCCATACGAATTATATTCAGTCACAGCAAGTGGGAGCTGAAGAGAGAGGATACACAGGCTAGCTTGCCTGCTTGCTTTCCTGCCTGCCTGCCTGCCTGCCTGCCTGCCTGCCTGCCTGCCTGCCTGCCTGCCTGCCTGCCTGCCTGCCTGCCTGCTTCCCTGCCTACTTCCCTGCCTGCCTGCCTGCTTCTCTGCCTGCCTGCCTGCTTCCTTGCCTGCCTGCCTGCCTGCCTGCTCACACACGATATATTGTGTGCTTATCTTAAGCTATGTGCAGCGATAACTTTCCCACCGACCTGAGGTAAATTTCCATCTCTAGCGTACCTCCTTGGTAAATGAGACTGATAATTTACGTGAGAGTAGGAGAACGTTATAGGCACCTACAAGGTCAGGTTAAAGAGGAACAATTCCATAATACCCTCAGCTCCACTTTTCCTCTGTGCTCAAACAGAAAACTTTATGACAGATACTATCTTGTGTAGAGCTGCTGCTGGTGTTTGATGGGCGCCTGGGATGATTACAAGTGCAGAGCTATGTTCGTGGTGTCTCGCCTTCATTGCTTAAGTTATCATAAAATTTCTTAACATTTACATTGGTTGTAGCACCGTATGTGTGGATGTATGCATGTATGTGTGTGTATGTGTGTATGTGTGTGTGTATGTGTGTGTGTGTGTGTGTGTGTGTGTGTTGTAGCACCGTATGTGTGGATGTATGCATGTATGTGTGTGTATGTGTGTATGTGTGTATGTATGTGTGTGTGTGTGTGTGTGTGTGTGTGTGTGTGTGTGTGTGTGTGTGTGTGTGTGTGTGTGTGTGTGTGTGTACTCACCTACTTATAATTGCAGAGGTCGAGTCACAGTTCCTGGCCCTGCCTCTTCACTGGTCGCTACTAGGTCACTTTTCCTGCTCCGTGAGCTTTATCATACCTCTTCTTAAAACTATGTATGGATCCTGCCTCCATTACATCACTTCCCAGATTATTCCACTTCCTGACAACTCTGTGACTGAAGAAATACTTTCTACATCCCTGTGATTCATCTGAGTCTTCAGCTTCCAACTGTGACCCCTTGTTGCTGTGTCCCATCACTGGAACATCCTGTCTCTGTCCACCTTGTCGATTCCTCTCAGTATTTTTTATGTCGTTATCATATCCCCCCTATCTCTTCTGTCATCCAGTGTCGTCAGGTTGATTTCCCTTAACCTCTCCTCGTTGGACATGCCCCTTGGCTCCGGGACTAGTCTTGTTGCAAACCTTTGCACTTTCTCTAGTTTCATTACGTGCTTGGCTAGGTGTAGATTCCAAAATGGTGCTGCATTGTCCAATATGGGCCTAACGTGCACGGTGTACAGGGTCCTGAACGAGTCCTTATTGAAATGTCTGAATATTGTTCTTAGGTTTGCTAGGCTCCCGTACGCTGCAACAGTTATTTGGCTGATGTGGGCCTCAGAAGTGCCGGGTTTTATACTTACCCTGAGATCCTTTTCCTTGAGTGAGGTTTGTAGTCTCTGGTCCCCTAGACTGTACTCCGTCTGTGGTCTTCTTTGACCTTCCCCAATCTTCATGACTTTGCACTTGGTGAAGTTGAACTCCAGGAGCCAGTTTCTGGATCAGGACTGCAGCCTGTTCAGATCCCTTTGTAATTCTGCCTGGTCCTTGTCCGATTGAATT